TTTGGTACTCAGCAGCATCCTCTGTCTGTGAAGGTATCCATTCAAGACACTGAAGCACTGTTTGACCGGCGGGGAACCACTCAACCCAGAAGTGATGGCAAACTGGAAAAGCCAAACAGGACTGACCATCTATGAAGGCTACGGCCAAACCGAAATTGTACGTCCATCTTTTTTGTAAAAGGTTACAACACAGCTATCACTTAGAGGACTTAAATATCCCTCTTGGTAAATATGGAACTTGGCCATTCTATTTGTCTAAAAAGAAAGATGACATTAGAATACCTGGCAGCCACCTACAAGAAGGTTTATTGTTTTGCTTACAATTATCACTTGGCTATGATAATGCTTCTAAGGCTATTTAAACTGTAATATATGTTGAACTTTTTGTCCATGACTCTCAGTGAGGTTCACAAATGTTTCAGCTTGCTCAGATGGAAAATTTAGATCTTACACCAGCTCAACTGTGGGCATGACAGTGAAAAATACCTGGGCTAGTTTTTTCTTATTTCCAACAGGGAATGATATGTGCAAATATGAAAGGAATGAAAATTAAGCCAGGTTCCCTGGGAAAGGCAACTCCCCCCTACAATGTTCAGGTATGGTGGTTCCTTCTTTAGTTTGCTGTTGATATCATGGGAAATAAAACATAAGAGTACAACATACCATAGAAGTTTTGGTACCATACAGTGGTATTCAGGGTAGACTGACTTTTTTGTTTGAGCTGTTAGCTTTAGAACACAGCTGTCTTAAATGGAAAGTTATAATTGACCCATTTGCCTTTCCTATTGCAGATTATAGATAAAAATGGCAGTGTTCTGCCTCCTGGGAAAGAAGGAGATATTGCTATCAAAATGGATGCCAAGCGGCCATTTACGTTTTTCACTCAGTACCTGGTAAGACAAAAGTGAATTTCCAGAGCCAGGTCAGGCCTGCAGCATGGTCTATCTATTTATACCAAAAGGAGCAGGTACAACACCAAAAAGCTGTAGCTTGACCTGATGGTGTTCTGACTTAGGAAACTTCCATTCTCTCCACTTTCTTCTGCAGACCTACCATGCGATCTTCAGTTCTGTATCTGCCCTTGTGATAAGCTTTCCCCTCTGGAACAAGCAAGCACAAGTTCTTACGTTCTTGAGACAGAAAACAAGCAGTGAAAGATACTATGGGTAGTGTCCAAAGAGGCAAAACTCATCTCTATGCTTAAGGTTTCTTGGCACTTCTACTATTTAATTTTTGCTTGTTCAACAGGACGATCCAGTGAAAACTGCTTCCACAATCCGTGGGAACTTCTATGTCACAGGAGACAGAGGGAGCATGGATGAGGATGGATACCTATGGTTTATGGGGAGATCTGATGATGTCATCATATCCGCTGGGTTTGTAGATTTCAGTTAAAATGCCAAGAAATGTCTAAAAAATAACCATATACCTTTCACCTACTTCACCTACTAAGCACCTAACGTCTCCCCTCTAGGTATCGTATCGGGCCGTTTGAAATAGAGAGTGCCCTGCTACAGCACCCGGCTGTTGCTGAGTCAGCTGTGGTCAGCAGCCCAGATCCCATCAGAGGGGAGGTAATCAGTGGCCACGCTCTCGTTCATGAAGTGCCTTGTTGGACAGAGCTCATTCTCAAAACTTCCACTGAATGCACAAGACTCCTCATACAGCTATACAGACGTTTCCATCAATTAACCCAAAGCAGGGAGAGCAGTACTTGCATATCTGTATTCTTTGTTTTTTGTTCCAGTGAAAATATAATCCTTAGTTTCCTAAAGAACATGACACTGAACATAAAGGTGAATCTGGTAAGACCTGATGAATACTTTGACCCAGTGCCTGGAGAATTATATTCTTTAACATGTTTACAGAGAAGGCCCTAGGATCTGAGAACTTTAACAGTGCTTTACAGAACTTTTACAAATTTGGAAGCAGAGTTTGAAACTTTTATCATGTATTACTTAGGAACTTTAGCAGGGTAAGGGAGAAACAGTCTTTTGTCCTGATTTTAAATTTGCTCATGCAAAAGCAAATTTTGCCCTCCTGCACAGGTGGGATACAGCAAGCCTGTATTGCAGGCAACACTCACTTATTTTCAATTAATGCTTCTTTTCTTAGATTGTTCCCATTTAATTAATACTGTATTCTTTATTTATTTTCCCTTTGTAGGTGGTAAAGGCTTTTGTGGTCTTGTCTCCTTCCTTTAAGTCACAAGATCCAATGAAACTGGCCTGTGAACTGCAAGATCATGTCAAGAAAGTCACTGCTCCATACAAGTACCCCAGAAAGGCAAGTACATTAGTGTATTGCAAAAAAAAACCAAAAAAAATCCAAACCACCTATGTTAACCATGGGGAGGACTGAAAGGCTAGAAACACAAAGATTAGACTCAGTTCAAATGCAGTAACAAACAAAAAAAGCCCAAATATATGCTGTGCAAGAAAAATGATGTGTTATTTTAAAGATCTTGGAAAATAAAAGATACAACACAATCTAAAACCAAATTAGTTATTTCCCTGGTCACCAAATTCTTATTTGAATGAAGTAGGATGGAGACCTGTGCTGTTCTGAAAAAAACTTATACATGAAATACACTCATTTTACTTTTTTTCTCTTTTGATCCAGATTGAATTTGTTCAGCAGCTGCCAAAGAATATTGCTGGGAAAATCAGACGGAATGAACTGAGGAACAAGGAGTGGGGACAGACTTAGTTTTCACAAGCAATCTGAAAAAGCTGATGCCTATAAATGTCATTCATAGTGGGGCTTTTTCATTACAACTGTAAGCACTAACATAGGATTATATTTCAGCTGTTAGGCAGTGATTCTGTAATAATGCACAAGGTTTAAAAACTCCCAAATGTACAGTTTCTAAATGCTTATTTTCTTGCTTAAGAAAAAAAATCAAGCCTTTTTAGCAAGGTATATGCAAACACATCTTCAGCCACCTGACACTTTTCAGAATTATGGCACAAGTGATTACCAGGTGAACAAGCAACATGTTCATTCTTTGAGAGCAGATATTTTAACTCACAAGAGGCTTATTAATGAGGAGATCATGATGGTATTTAATGAAGTTCCCATAAATGGCCATAGATCTTGCACACATCCACATTAAACACCCTGCTTGTATGAGTCTTGAAAGTGTCAGGATTTAGGAATGAATGTGTCAACAATGAATACTCAGTAAGTGCAAAATAGGAAAAATCAGAAGTAAAAGAATACAGACAACTTTAAGACTGCAGCATAGGTGGCATCTACATCTCAGACACAGGCTTGACAGATGGATGGATGGTAGCTATTCAGCAGTTTCTTCTTAGGCCCTGCAGGCATACAGATGAATTAGAGAGAAAGAAAAAATAAAACAAAAACCTACAAACTATCTGTGAGTCTTTTTGTCCTTAGCAAGGTAAGTAGGCTGTCTTGAATTGGGATCACCGACATCATCCACCAGTCAGAGCTGAATTCTGTGTCTGGTCTGACCTGGTATGAATCCTGTGTATGATGTAGACAGTGCTGGTTTCAATCTGCACACAAAAAGCTTTAAAATGTAAAGAAAACACCAACAGAGGTAAGAAAGACGAGTTTTAATTAATGGGTGGTAAAGGAAACAAGACATGGGGAAAAAAGGTGTTTTAATTTTCCAACTTCTAAAACAATTTTGATAAAAGAAGAAAATATAAATTAAAAACTGTTGAGAGACGACATCTTTATCATTAAACCAAGACAAGTAACAAGTGGTGTTTTTCAAGATAAGTCTTTTCCCGTTAGTAACCCACAGGCTTTTATGATAGAAATGAAGTATGAAAGCTAGACATTTGTACAGGAAGCATACTCCAAACCCTGTTGGGAAGCAGCTTATAGCTGCACGGGTTTTGGTTGCTTTTGTAGAAGTCACTGGAATAGCAAAAGAACTGCTGTAACAGACAACAGACTCACTATTTTCAATGTGAAACAAAATTAATGCTGCAAAGCTAAAACTGTAACAAAAATTAAACTTGATTCCCTTTATCCAGTACAGCGTAACAGAGAGCTTCCTTCATAAGAAGTTTCCAAGCAGTATTTATATTCAAATTTTGAGACCTAAGGGGGAAAAAAAACCCAAACACCTACTTTAATAAACACCCCACCCCAAGAATTAAGTCTTTGGAAGGAGCAGCAAAAAGCTATTTGCAGGAAATTACTCAAAAGAATTCTGTTTAGTGACTACAGCATTTCGTATAAACCAGTAACTGCTGTATACACAGCTAATGTAAACACACATGGAGCTTTTGCTAAAACCATCTGCAGTGCCTGCACTGTACTGCTGGTCTGGAACAGTCAAATCTCTCACCCTAAACTGCCTTGTATTCACATATTTTGATCTTAGCAGTTCTTCCCATTTGCTTTCAAGACTTAGCATATCCTTGTAGAGCAATGTGTGTGTGTGTGTGTGTATGTATGTATATATATATATATAAATAAAATAACCCTCCATCATACAGGAAATTATCAGTTTTGGTGCATTCTATTGTTCACACAGAAAAACATATCCGAGTTCTGCAGTCACAGAAGCTGTCAGACCATGTCCTTAAAAACCCTCTGCAATCAGCTGTCTTATTCAGACCTCTCACCTGTCAGTGCTTCCTAATAGAGCTGATTCTAAATTACTTTTGGTTTCTGTAGCCATCAGATAAAACAGGGAGTCCACATGTGTCAGGATGGCAACATTTACATATCCGAGCACACAACCCCACTTTTTGTGCTAGGTAAAGGCATTGCAGAACAAAGCCATACAAGAATGACAGCAAGTTCACCACAAAGGTGCCAGGACTCTTGAGCACTCTTACATCTGCCGTAATGTCAGCTCCACCTCCAGTGAGCATTAGTATTCTTACACACGGATTTTAAAAAAGATTTCAAAACAAAACCCACTCTCCTCCTTAAAACACCCTTTCAGAACTCTAGGGCAATTCTTTTTACTAGGTTTTGATGGTGGTTACCTTTCCTCTCTACCACATTTTCTACACTGTCAGTGCATCATTTCCCTTGGGCTCAGCTTCTAGTTCACCTTGATTCTCGTTCTCTTGTTTTACTTCTTTTGAGCTCTTCTCCTCCTCGGTTTCTGCTTTTACTACTTTGGAGTTCTGTTCTTCTGTCAGACTTGATGGGTTTTGTTGTGCGCCTTCTTTGTTGCTCTTCACCACCTCCTGCAGATTGTATTTTCTGAACAGAACATAGTCTTTCACCACACTCAAGCAACAGACGTTTTTTATGATTTCCACCACGATTGTGTATTGTGGGTTATTAAGATCAACTTTGTTTTCTGGATTGAGGCTGCCCACAATTCCTGTAAAACAAGATGTAGTGTAAAAGATGCTGGAAAAACTGTTTCAGAGCACAACATGCCCTACTGAAAGGATAAAAGTTAGGAGACAGAAGGCAACGCCCCTCTTAGTTGTAACCAATTACTTGTTTTTGTAAATACTTAAAATAGCAGAATCGAGCAGGGCTCTCAGAATATACCACCAGTAGCACTGAAGTACCTGAAAAACTATCCCACTGCAATTACCAAGAAACAAAATACTTGAGAAAGTTGGAGCTATTTTATGACTTATATATTCAGTGGAAATAGTAACATGTTATTTTAATATAGCATCCAGAAAGCTCAATAGGAGTAATTTCAAAGCAGATGTAACTCACACTCCATATTCAATGCTGTACTCTTTTGCTTGGTCTCGTAAGTTATCAACACCAATAAGGAATAATGATGTCATGCTTCAAGTCTCAGAAGCTTTTGTAATTCAACATACACATTTTAAGCAATAAATATGTATGCCCGTTAAGACCACTTTTAATAATCTGGCCTATGTTATGATGCAGTTGCAGTCAGCTTATATGTGTGTTCTTAGTTTTCTGTGAAATCCATACATACCTGCCAATTCCTTAATTACTTCTTCCCTACTCATATGACTGTTATTACGAGCTTTGTAAACAATCTGAAAAGTACCCTTATTAGGGGCTTTAAACCAAGGCTCAAAAAATGTTTCCGTGTATTTTTTCATATCCTCCATAAAAGCCTTGCAGGTTCCAGAAATGGGCAGCATGCGCAGAATGACTCGTGTTTTCTTCTTTTTAGTGGCATGCATGTCTTTTAATATATGGTGCACCAGGTTCTCGGGTTCTACAAGAGAAACAGCTAGGTATGAGAAACAAATTGAAGGTATTTTCTCCCTTCTTCCCCCCTCTGAATAATAACCTGGGGAAATGCACACTTGGCTGCAGTATCAGCCTCCAATGCTTTTCTGTAGAGTCGATTTACTATACCAAAACTGGTTAATCAAAGCCTATTTTGTCAAACGAGATTCCTCTCCCGTTATCGACTCCACTAATGACAAAATTCATCAGCAATGCCAAAGGGAGGGGAAACACCCTTCTGGTATACATGTCTGGTATATATGAGTTTCCTGGAAGTCACACTCTGTGGCCTGTTACTAGCACTGCTCAGAGCATTTATCCCTGCAGCACCCGCAGCATCAGTTGATGTCCTACCTATGCCACGGGTTCTGATGAAGACCACGTTGTTGGCACCGCTCTCCACCGACTGGAACCGTCGCAGCTTCTGCTCTGTCGATGCACGGATCTGGCCGACTTCCTTCTTCAGGACAGCCTCAACATCGTCCTCATCCTCCTCCCTCTCGCTTCCAGACAGCTGTCCCTCGTGATCTGAAAACTGCACACACGGCGCGTCTCG